ACGTATGAAGCAACTATAAAATTTGTAATACAGAAAACTATATTGTGTGGACAAGTGCAGTTTTGTAGTAATTATCAAAGTAGTCGATATATTTTTCTATGGACGTGAGCAGTTTTCATCGGAAGATTGGATAAAATTTTGCGTTTGGACATGCGTTGTTCTGGATGATATTCCTATCTGTTTGATATGGAATAAGATAGGTATTGCTCAATTCTAACGCCATATTCGGATTTAGTATAGGAAATTCTACACGACTTATCTTTTAACGCAATTTGGATAAATTGTGGCGCATTTACTGGCAGCTCAGTTTTTTTTTAAAAACACTCAGACCCGTCGATTTTGTTTTCGAGGGGGACACAAGTTTGGCAAAAAATCACGTTGGCACGTGCAGCCCTCTAAGCGGGGGTGACACCACCCCCAAAATCTTAAATGGAAAGGGGGGTCGAGTGATACCTTATTTTAAAGGTCTTTCAATTCCCTTTATAATGATATAAAATTAATGTACTTCAGTTCAGTAGTTTTGAAGACTTATTGATTTAAAGCTTGAATAAATCTAATACATCATCAATAGTGGAGATCAATACATTTGGCAGCAAAGCAATTTACTTGTTGTTATATACCTTTCTCCGCATGATCATATTCTCTTTATATATATATATATATCCTTGAATTTCTTTGGGTAGAAGTACACTCTTATAGCTTAAACTCAAGCTTTCGAAGATCTATGTGTTCATCGTCTGGAGCTGGAAATATTTATTGACAATAGCAACAATTAACAATTAGGAGGAAAAACAGTTACTTGCTAAGTCGGTGAGATTGTAGCTAAAATTGTTTTTAAACAACAGTGAAGGGAACACATAGTCGAAGAATAAAAAACTGGACCGATGAGGTTCGATTAGGACGGAATTATTTTATTATTAAATGGACAATCATAGCTATGTTTTTTTTATTTTAGAAGAGGTTTTTTTCCTTAAACGTTGATTTATTTTGGAAGAAATTTGGAAATTCTAAGACTCAACCATTGAAAATTTGTTTCATCTTTTTTCCCACTTACGTTTTCAGCTCCAGACGATGAAGACATAAATCTTCGAAAGCTTGAGTTTAAGTTATAAGAGTGTACTTTTGCAATGGTTTGCCTTCTACCCAAAGAAATTCAAGGATTTCTCTTAACAGTTAAGGCAATTAACTATGACTATATATATATATATATATATATATATATATAACTTGAGACGTGGTCATTGTCGTCTAAACCAGTTAGGTGAAAAATTAAAGCTTCCGCCTTTTGTTGGGTACTTCGACAAAATTTAAGCAAAGAGGACTCTTTATACTTTTTTTAATTCTCTCTAGCTTTCAATGGACTTTGCCATCATCATCAGGAGCTGCAATTACAATGATAACAGTAGCAACAAAAGTGTAAAATGAATTTAAATTGAATCAACTTACAGTAGTATGTGAGGATGTTGCTAATTGTTGTTTTCGTATAGGATGAGGGAAACGTCCAGTAACATGGTGAGAGCTGGATACATGGTACAATGGTCAAAATTATATAAAATATGACAAGACAAGTTAAAAACAGATTAAAAATTATTTAAAAAACATTAGAGCATTACGTCGTGAAGCCACTTGATGATTGCACAAAATGGTGGTCATGGAATAATGAGTGAGATGAACCTTTGACAGAAGGCTGAAGGTTGTCAATGTCTGTGTTGAAAGATGGAACGAATTGTGGGCGTGTGCCAAAACGTTGCCAAATCACTTCAGATGATGTGATTTTCAGAATGTTATGTAAGAAATTGTTAAACCAACCAGAGGCAGTTGAATAAACTATATTTTTATTAATGGGAATTTTAAATTAACAATTATTAATAAATCGTGAGAAGAGAATTATTAGATTTTGAGTGGAATGAAATTTGTTGGTGGAATCGGCCAAAACACAGATTATATCTATGGTTGTGAAAAGTTGAAATTTGGGGAGATATGTAAGTTCTCCAATTTTTCGCAGTTTAGCAAATATGAGTAAATGACACTCAGTTGTTTAACATCTGTCTTTTTGTTGATACAGTTGTTATTCATGAAAATGTGGGACATTTCCAGGAATAAACGTTTGGAAAGGTGTTTTTCTTTATCAAGAACTTTGATACTTGTGTAATTCTTCGGCTTCATCCTGAAAGATGCGCTCTAGCATCTCATGTTAACACAACAGGGCATTCTATGAATTACACAAGTATCAAAGTTCTTGATAAAGAAAAACAACTTTCCAAACGTTTATTCCTGGAAATGTCCCACATTTTCATGAATAACAACTGTATCAACAAAAAGACAGATGTTAAACAACTGAGTGTCATTTACTCATATTTGCTAAACTGCGAAAAATTGGAGAACTTACATATCTCTCCAAATTTCAACTTTTCACAACCATAAATATAATCTGTGTTTTATATATATATATATATATTAATTGTACTTTATTATTTTCTCGCAACGCAGGATACGTCAGCATTGGCATGGTAATTATAGTGATGACACCGATTCCATCTCCCTATCCCATTTATCCTGCAAAGAACCGAAAGCAGGGATGGAAATGATATGAATCAGTTTTTGCCGCCTTTCAGATAAATTACTTAGATACCTGGAATGCCTTAGAATACACAGTTTGCTAACGAAATCAAATTATGGACGGAGCAGTTTTGCTTCGAGATACTCTGTTTCTGATAAGATCGCCGGGAATGTTCCTGAGATTTTTGTTGAATGCTTTCTCACTCAGCTGTCTTTCAGGGACTTTCAGGGTCGCAAAGAAGATAACATCCCTGTTGAAGCAATTAATGTTTCCTCCAGTGAAAAAACGTCGAAATGGTAAAATATCGCCAAATGCATATTACCTTGACGAATGGTCAAGGGGTTACGAGGATAGTGTTCCGTATCTTGAAAAGCGACATTGGGGGTATCTGGAAATGTCCCTCATCTACGAAATCTCAACCCCTAGTGCTTCGATAAAGGAGATACCCGTTGAACCCCATGTAATTCCAGATTTCACCGTATCCTATAGTCGTCGGACAGCTACTTATTGAATGCTCCCTGTATAGAAAAATCGTATCGGATCTCTTGATTCCCGCTGTTTCTAGAAAATACCAGATGTTCGAAATGTCGGAGGATCAGAATTACAGTATTCAGCAGTGGATATATCAGCGAAGCAATGCCGTTGCGATTCTGTGTGAACTATCCGAACAGTTTCTCTTATATTTGTGGTGAGGTGACACTGAAGGCTCAGCGAAAGACCTTGAGCCGACCTGTAAGAAAAGTTCACCATTAGGTTGCTTATAATTTAGGATTTTAATATTTTATAGTCTCCCTTCTCTAGGAACTTGTGGATGATGGGATGAAACTGACTGCACGCTAGATTTCAGTACAACACAGTAAACGCAAAAATTTCGGAGAGCGACACAAAGTTTCAGAATGCCGAACAGTATTGATGATAATTCCATTGGTTCGAGTTGTCTCAAATACACTTACTTGAGATGAATTCAAATTTAGAAATTAGTAGCGGATCCACTTTTTTATTCATTCTGGAAATTACGTGTGCAAATTTGCTGAATTTCAACAACGAGAGAGATACGAATAGAAAATCCCTGGTTGATGAATTAATAAATTTTAAGTGGAATGATTTTCGGTGTCAAAAATATGGGGTCCGTTTAAGAAAACTATAATGACCTTCAAATGACTTTGAAGGTGATGATCAAGGTCACGTTCAATTGACACCTGAATACAAAATGAAAATTTATCGATGGTAATAACAATAATCATAAATAAACAGAGAGGTTCAAAACGTTCTGTTATTTTGCAGGCAAATCACTTCTTGACGTGTCAAGTTTCCTGTCGATCTTCCTAACTCTGATATTATGTTTATTTTGAGGTCTCCAAAACTGTGCATAAATTGACCTTGTTTCCTTATAGTATTCGTCCGGTCAACAAAATCATGTACAACTAAGGAAATACATCACTTGATTTAGATTTGAAAACTCCGTTTAAATGTACAAAATTACATTCAACTGAAAACTTGACCATGCCACCCTGTACATGAGAAAAAATGGCGATAAAAACATGTAATTTATTGTAAAATCCCATCTTAAATAAAGTAAATATAAATTGGCGATAAATCCGATATATGAAACAAATGAGTATCTGGCAATTTCAAGGCCTACCTAGGAAATGCTCTTTTTTCTAAATAACTTAAGATTGGTTGTATATTTTTGAAATCAAAATTAAAAACTCTATTCAGATGTGTGAAAATCCAATACGGCGTCCTTAAAAAAATTAAGTGGGTGCCATCTTGTAAAGGATAAACATTGGCAACTTAGTCTGCAATTTATTTTGAAATCTCACTACAAAAAAGGCAGGAGAAATTGAAACCATTTTGGAAAAATTCGGTTTGTTCCGTCTCTCTCCGGAAGAACTATGAGTTTCAAAACTTTCTAAGCGGCATTTTGTTGACTACCTAAATACGCAAGCTTGCTCCCATTTAGGCGACCTTGTATCTCTCACCTTTTTCGAGATTCCATTAGTGAGGGCCGAATTTGAAACACTTGTTATATTTATGTAGATTTGAATGCTCTTTGAGTGTTCAAAATTCTGTATAAATTTCATTTTTGCATTTGAACGTTTGTCAAACTTCTGACCATCTCAGAGTACTTTGCAAAACCTAGTTCTTGATGCCTGTATAGAAATTGTTTATATCCGATTTTATGATCAATGAAAGGACGACTGTCAGTAACATTACCTATAAAGTGAAGAACATATATTCCATATTATGCCGTCCATTAACCACTTCTATGAATAACTATATTGAAACGTTCTATAAAAGAAAGAATATGAATGCTAAAAAATCCTAACTGAATCCTCTTGACATCATTTTTCAATATGACCAACGGTAATTCTCATATTATTCACCCCAAATCCATTCGGTACCACATTATCCGCCTCTAAATATTCAATTCTCTTCCAGATGCTGCCTCCACGCCTCGAAACGACCCCATAGCTGAGAAGTGAAAGAATCCCTGCTTCGCGATGAATTCCCTGATGTCCTGATCGATCCATCCAGATCCCGAGACCGCTGCAAAGGAATAACATCGGGAAGGAGAAAGGAGGTGGAGGATCCATTCCACCGTTGATAACGGAAGCTGGAGGATTCGGACCAATTTCTGTATGAGCGTCTATACAAGGTACGATGCTCTCGAAAGCCTAGAGGTATTTGTTAACAATTACTCATTACAGCGTGATCTTGGCACGTGACACGACGTTTGCTCTATATAGGGTGTTTCAGTTTATTGTTGCATAACTTTAAGATTCGATAGAACCTTTAAAATGAATGCATAAAGTCTATATAAACATTGGTCGAAAAATGCGTGGCTTCTGAAATACAGGGTGTTTAAATTTACTTTCTAAAATAGGTTTTCTTAAATATTTCGAACAATATTTGATGTATAACAGTGAAAATTGGTATACAAGGGTTTTTTGGTACGACAAAACGAACCATGGGCATAGTTTTACTATAGCCGCTAGAGGGCGCTCTCTACTGTACCTGTAGTGTACTAAAATGACCGAAAAAATTTTCTTAGTGCAATTTTTTGCTTTCTGAATAAAACAGCTGATTTTTCGCACTTTTCAACATAAAAAAGCTCTCTTGTGAACTTTCGTTATAGTTAGCCGTTTTTGAGATATTTCGATTTTTAGGGTTCGATGCATTTTTAGTTATTTATGATAAAATAACGTTAAAAAGTCAGTATCTCGATAATTTTTAGTAGTAGGCTGTGCCTGCAAATATTTTTGAAATTGAAAGCAGAATAAGGTTAAATGTCAGTTAGTTGTTGACAGTTAGTTTTGTTGTCTGTTGAAACCTGAAACGTTTTTTTGCAATTGTGAATGCACGAAATTTAGTTTCTTTTACCTGTTTTTTTTTTGTAAGTTTTATAAAAATCCCATTTTTATTCTCCAATCAAGAGTTAGCGGATATTCATTTTGTGTATGGCTTTGTAAATGGAAACGCAGCAGAAGCAGCCAGAGAATACGCACAAAGATTTCCAAACCATCGACATCTAACTCGCTCAGTATTTGCAAGAGTGCATCGCCAAATAATTGAAAATGGTTTTGGAAATCTCCAAAGGGATCAAAACATAAATGTGCGTCAGCGCAGATTTACCCGTATGATTCTGCGTGAGTTTGATAGAGATCCGACCACAAGTGTTAGGAGAGTTTCTGGTATTTGGGAATTTCAGCAAGCCATGTTCACCGTGTTCTTAGAAATGACCATAGACGTCCTTACCATTTGCAACCTGTGCAAGGACTACAGCCAGGGGACGGAGAAAGAAAAATCAAATTTTGTCAGTGGATTCTTGATAGAACTGATAATAGTAGGGAGTTTTTAAGTAACGTTTTATGGACCGATGAGTCATGCTTCACTAGAGGTGGAGTGGTAAATTTTCATAATCAACATATTTGGTTGCATGAAAATCCGCATGCAGTTCGGGAAAGAAATTTTCAGCATGAATTTAGTGTGAACGTGTGGATTGGTATCTACCGTAATCGACTATTTGGACCCTACCTTTTGCCTGCAAGGTTAAATGCTGCGACCTTGGAACTTTTAAGGGCTGAACATGCAAATATGTGGGATGATGTTATGTTAGATTCAAGAAGATTGGCCTGGTTCCAGCTTGATGGTTGTCCAGCTCATTATTCGAGAATAGTTAGAAACTGGCTTGACGTAAATTATCCAGAAAGATGGATAGGCCGTGGAGGACCAGTCGCTTGGCCTCCACGATCCCCTGACCTAGATCCATTAGATTTCTTTGTGAGGGGATTTCTAAAAGAAAAAGTGTACCAGACTCACGTAACCACAAGAGATATGCTAATAGACAGAATCAGGAATGCATGTGATGAAATGAGGCCTTATTTGAATAATGCTATACCACGTTCGATCATTCGTAGATGTGGATTGTGTATTGAACAATTGGGTTTACATTTCGAGCAACTACTTTAGATTTTGTATGTTTGTCCTAACTATCTAATAGCACTTTAGTTGTAAATAATTAATTTAATTTGTTAAAAATAATATTGGAAAATTAAACAAATTATTATTCTGTTTTTTTGTGTTTATTTGGAGTTAGGAATTATTGCTGTGTTTAAAAACACAATCTAAACGATCATCTTAATTACTTGTAATGCCCAATGTAAAAAAATATTATTTTGCCATAAATAATTAAAAATGCATCGAACCTTAAAAATCGAAATATCTCAAAAACGGCTAATTATAACGAAAATTCAATTCAAAGAGAGCTTTTTCATGTTGAAAAGTGCGACGAATCGTTTTTTTTATTCAAAAAGCAAAAAATTGTACTAAGAAAAATTTTTCGGTCATTTTAATACACTACAGGTACAGTAGAGAGCGCCCTCTAGCGGCTACAATAAAACTATGCCCATGGTTCGTTTTGTCGTATCAAAAAACCCTTGTATACCAATTTTCACTGTTATACATCAAATATTGTTCGAAATATTTAAAAAAAACTATTTTAGAAAGTAAATTTAAACACCCTGTATTTCGAAAGCCACGCATTTTTCGACCCGTGTTTATTCAGACTTTATGCATTAATTTTAAAAGTTCTATTGGATGCAACAATAAACTGATACACCCTGTATGATCACTGTTCGCTGACCTTTAAGCAACAGCACAGCTACAAAACTAATTGTAGAAAAACATACGTTATGTCACAAAAAACCTACGAAATGTCAAAAAAAAAGGTGAAATAAAAGGATTTTTTTTTGAGAAGGGTTACAACACGTTCTCATTGCTCATGAAAAATGTGAAACTGCAGATACTATTTTCTGGCTTATGACGGCAGTATAGGAATAGAAGACCTCGCAGCCTATTCGCTGCCGTTGAACAATGATTCTACTGGACCTATACAGGGTGTCCGCAAAATTGGGGTTTTCCTTTACATGACGTGTAGATCTTGAAAACATAGGCAATTTTTCTTAGTACCATATACACCAATGTCTTAAGGGAACCGAGATAAAGGGCTCTGCAACATCAAAAATATCTGAATACCGTCCTGTAGCCGCGACCCGCCGGGATATCCCCGACTGGTACAAGGTCTCAACCCGACGGCAGAACTGGGTCGGGGTCAGTGTGTCAGGCTAGTATGCAACCTTCAACAAGCACTAGAGACGTGGCTAGAGAAGTGCAAGTATCAAACACTAAAGTGTGGCAAACGCTGCGTGAAGAGGGGCTGTATCCGTTTCACGTCCAACGTGTACAAGCCCTTCAACCTGACGATTTTGCGGTTTTGTGAGTGGTTGTTGAGAATATTGGACGACGCAGTGGCGGCACCTGAAAACGCCTAAAAAACTTCATAACCTGGTGAATTCAAATTCATGTTTTTGGGTGTGCCTCGTGGTGATGTAAAATATTTGAGTAATAGTTACAAAGTAAGGGTTACTTGCCAGGACTCAAAGTGATTAATACCGGTGGTTAAAAACACTCGTTTTTTGTTATTTAGCTACTTTTTTATTATTGCGCTTTGTGTGTTTTATGTTCATTGTTATCTTCGAAAGTATGGAAAAGTCTATAATGAAAAGAAGCTCAATTTGGATACATTTTGATATTTTAACGGAACGAAACGCCAAATGCAGTTTATGAAAATATCTAAGTATTGTTGCTACTTCAGTCCTTGTGACCGAATTTTTTCAAAAGCAGGGAAGTCATAACAAAATGCAGAAACAGATTTATAATTATTAGAGTTTATTTGGTGCATATAATACAGGGTGTCCTTAAAGTTGGGGTTTTCACGACGTGTAGATCTTGAAAACGTAAGCAATTTTTCTTAGTACCATATACACCAATGTCTTAAGGGAACCCAGATAAAGGGCTCTGCAACATCAAAAATATCTGAATACCGTCCTGTAGCCGCGACATCCCCGACTGGTACTAGGACACTAGCTCAACCCGACGACAGAACTGGGGCGGGGTCAGTGTGTCAGGTCAGTATGCAACCTTGAACCGACGGTTACGGTCACGCGTAGAAGCCCTGATGATTTTCCAGCAAGAGTGCGGTTTTGTGAGTGGTTGTTGCATCAACATGACAATAATCCGGACTTTCTGAAGTGCATATTGGTGACAGACGAATCTACGCTTACGCGTAATGGGGTGAATAACTTTCGCAACACTCATGTTTGGTCATTTTCAACAAACATTTTCCGTGAATGTTTGGGCTGGCATGGTGAACGGCTCATTGGACCATTTATTCTCCCAAATCGATTGGACGGGATGCAATACCTAGACTTTTCACGCAACATTTTGCCTTCCTTGTTAGAAGATGTGCCATTAAGTGTAAGACAATCAATGTGGTTTCTGCGTCTGCTCGGTAGCGCTTCAGCTGATTTCATTTTCTGTTGGAGCAGTATGATTTCGGACAGAGACGTACTTAGCCCTTCTCGTCAACTGGAGAGTGAGTACTTTTTCCTTTATTTTTTTTTTACTTGGTCGCCCTCGTTTCACTACACATTACCTTTGTTATTTCAAAGGTAGTTGTTTCTGAAAAGGAAAACCCCAACTTTGCGGACACCCTGTATTGTGCTAGTGCTATTCTCATACTCGTAGTAACAAATACTAAAAAACTTGCGACTGTCTATAAATGGCACACGTATTACGCGTGTCTTGAAGACAAAGCGGATTTCATCGAACCATCCCCTGCCTATTGTCTAACGGTGAAAAGGAATATTATTCCGGTTGCGCCGTCACGATGATGAAAGGTGTTGAATATCAATGGACTTTTCATTTTAGCCTACCACCTATACCCAGTCCAAGAGTTTCAATGTACGTGACCTTATTATCACGCGAAATACCTTCTGCTCGTACCCTCCTGTGTTTCGCACCCTAATAGGTCTTCGCTAAGAAGGGTATTAATGAGGATACCCACGATAGCAAAAAATAACCGAGCTAGAGGTGGTATCGGGACCGCTTTCCATTATTGGAAGGTGTAGGTAAGCAGGGTTAAGTAGGCTGCTTCAAAGCAAGAAGCTGAAAGCTGTATTAGTAACGTGTTTCAAAATTCAAATTCAAATTCTTTATTTTCCTGTTGATGTTATGTTACAAAAAACTTAAGACTAAAGACAGAATAACAGCAAAATAAAACAGGTGGCAATAAAAAAATGTCCACACTTGAAGCATTAAAAATTCCTATAATAGAAAAGGTCTTCAACACTATGGAAACACTGATCGATCAGACCTTTTCTCATTTCGTTTGAAGGATCTCACGTTTGCTTCTGACTTTGCCTTATCTCAGAGATTATTGAAATTTTTTAATCCTAGGTAATTTGGTAACAGTCAAAAATAGGTGAATATTATTGCCCTTTCATTCTGGTATTGTGGTATTGGCTATTTCTAGTATATAGGGTGATTCTACCAGGTTTCTCACCGCTATATCTTTTTATTTTATTGAAGATAGAAAAACGTAATTTGGGGGTTGCGTATTATAGATGAATTTAGATTCACTTGCTTTGACGTACTTTCGGTTTGACCGGAAACGACTTCGACTTTAGATTTTTAAATGGAATTTACACAGCATTGTATACTGTAAGAATATTGGAAAAACCCTCTTAGAACAGCTATACAAGCGGAGTGGGCACACCTAATAGGTCACTTCAGTCATTTAAGAGATTGTATAAGGGCTGCAGGTAACATTTGTACAACAAAAGTGTAAGCCTCTTGCAGCCGCTATAGGACAATTTGCGTCAGTGAAAGATTCAGTTTTTGTCAACTATGCAACTATTCTGTTACGTGATTCTACTTTATTGTAACCAAACTATTTCTTATGTATTATATAGACGAAGTGAAGAATATATAACTACCACATTACAGTCCTCTTGTTTACTTACATATCAGCCATTGTGAATTTCATACACAGGTATATGATAAACTTCTACACTGATATATAGGGCTATTGAATTACTTGCGCAGCAAATTTTATTGTCATTATCGTGCAAAGTAGTTACGCAATTTCTACGGGCTTCGTATTTGATTCATATCTTGATAATGATCACAAGTATGTCTAGATTTTTAAGATGGAAAACTGATTTTATCTGCGTTAAATCTTCCACAAATGTTTGTACCAGATCTATATCTTATGTTTGAACAGTTGATACAACCTTTTGAACCAATATACATGCGTTGTTTGTCTTAAAACATTGGATATGGCATTTTAACAAAAATATGATAGCAGAAAATTAGGTTATGGTGAAGTTATTAAACAACAGTTGTTAAGTGCTTCCGTTGGGAGCAATTTGTTGGCTAAAGTAGTAAATTGCACAGCAAAACAACAACGCTCCGGTTTGTTTTATAAACGTTACCATGGATGCCACAACACAACCATTTTGACTAACGTGCAAATATGCCGTATGAAATAGTTGTATAAACGTTTATGCAACAGTTAAATTTGCCCTTTAAGGTGTTGTATAACTATGCTATAAGAATATTTTAAACACCTCATTTTAGAGCAAATATGTTGCAGAAAACAAATTTGCATTCCACACAACATTAAGCCAGCATTTTGGTGTTCAGGCAACAACAATACATGGCTGAACGGTTCTTTTACCAAGAGCTTATAACACTACTTTGCTAGTTGAGCTGTGACCAAACAATTAAAGGTGTTGCTATGGTTACTTCAACAAATACCTAATCCAAGTTATTAAAAACACTGTCAGTTTAAAACTGACATTAAATGATTTGTATATTTTGCTTTCTTGTTCCAGATCCGGAACCTTCCCGCCGCCTCACCCCCATCTCGCCGCCTCTCCATGTATATTGACCAGGAGCAGCTGCAAGATGGCGTGAGGAGGAGCGGCGACCGGCACTATTCACCGTCAACGACGGTACCAGCACCACCCACTGAAGCACCTCCAACGTTCTCGTATGGCGACCAACATCACCGCAGGCTACACACCCGCTACAGCTAATGATACCACGTTCAACTATACCAAGCAAGCTCAAGAGGAGGGGTACAATCAACTAGAAGCTATCGTCATTTCTGTGATACTTATCGCTATTATCGCCGGAACTATTATCGGTGAGTATCTACAGCAGGGTTTAACAGGGTGCTCGCGCGGGTGCATTGCACACAGTGTTGCCAGAGCGAAGTTTAAAATATCCGTCACACGTATCACAAAATTCCGCTACATGCCGCTATGGTCTAAAAATTTAAGGGGGGGGGAGGCTCAAAATAAACAACAAATATGTTTTTTACATATTTACTTTTTTTTAACAACTGTCTAAAAACCCTACTAAAAATACAAACAGTAACATAATATAATTGCAATTTTCCGTAAAAACATAAAAAGTATACCTCTAAAAAAACAAAACTGTCTTTGGTTTAGAATTAGGAACTAATATAAAAATAGAAACTATCACCAATATCTTAATCTTAATAGAAAAAAAAAACAAAAGATAAGGACAAAGAAGAAGCGGAAACGTGGAAATGCCTACGTTTGCTTATTTTATTCACAGTCAGAATCAGAAATTACTTCTTCTTCAGCTTGTTCTTCCTTATTTACATTATATAAATTCTTTTTATATTTGTTTAAATGATTCTCATTAAAACTATAGGATAAACAGCACTGTTTTTTTGATTCCAAGTCTAATTTAATTGTAAGTAGTGCAGACAAAGTTGATGGTATTATTTTATTTCTTTTTTTTGTTTTGTAATCAAGCATATAAGAAAAAGTTCGCTCAACATCAGCCTCTCCATGAGGCAATGTTAAAATGATTAGAGCCAGTTCACCTATATTGCGAAATAAATATTCGTCATTAAAATGTTTGAGGTCGTTTACAAACGACCAAAATTCAATGACATTACTTTTTGTTTTTAAAATTTCCTCTTTCTCACTATCACTAAAATAAATACATATCTTCTTTAGTTCCAAAATTGCCTTTTCGGTTTCCATATGAAGGGCAATTTTTTTTAAAACGGCGTCATGAAAGGTATCACTTATAATAAGACGATTGTTCATCACATCAACCGGTGAGAGAAACTTTAGCTCTGAAAAGAAGTTGTCTTTGATAGGAAATCTTTTAAGGGACTCTTTTACCGATTTTTGGTAAAATGTGACACATTTTAATTTAAATTGTTCGATTGCCGTGTTATTGCAGTGTTTTATTGCATCCATTTTATGCGGACCAACATTCACTTGTTCAATTGGTAATAAGCAGTGGGGATCATTAGGATTTAGATTATATAATTTCTCATTTTTAAAATATTCTGGTCGCATAAAGTTTGTACATAGATGACGTACAAATCGCTCACTCTCTATTGATATGATATTGAGCATAACTTTCTTTGATTGAAAGAGAACATTAAATTGGTTAAAAATGGGCAACACGAATTTAAAAAACATTAAATATGCCTTAACAAATGGATTCTGTAACTCATTAAGTATTACATTTGCTACAGGATTTTTGTCTTCAATGGAAGCTAATCTAAATAGGCTAAGCAAGATGTCCCACTGATCCAAAACTCTATCAACACATTTGGATAAAGCAAGCCACCTTGTTTTACTAGGGCTTTTTAAAGTTTTTGAAATATTCCTGTAGTTCTTCAAGAACACACTGCCTTTTTGGGCTTCTTGAGAAGTAAGAATATAAGTTTTGTAAAAGAGCTTCAACGTTGCTTGGAATCTTTTCAGCTGCCGCCACAGCAACTAAATGAGCAGAGTGGCAAATGCAGCCATTGACAATTATATTAGGATTATCTTTTAAAAGATAAGTTTTGAAATATTTGTTATTGCCCATCATAACACTAGCGTTGTCGGAACAGTATCCAACAATATTGGTAATTTTTACTTGATTGGATATAACGCATTTTTTAAAAAGAGAATATAAACTTTTGGCGGTACCTTCATCTGCGTTTATTTTAATTATATCTACTAAATGGGTTTTAATTGAATTTTTATGAATATACCTTACAAGAATGCATAGTAGTCTTGTATTGCCCAGGTCTGTACTCTCATCCAATAAAATAGAAAATGGTTTGTTTTCCAATTCTGAAATTATTTCGTCTTTAATAACAGGAGCCAGCACATTTTTAATTATACTTATGCATTTGGATCTTTTTAGTTTAAGTGAGCTAGAGAGATCTGGGTCTTTAAAACATAATTGACTAACTCCTGTTATATGATCAACAGTTCTAAAACTTATATAATGACTTACAACTAAAAGACTATATCTTAAGCAAGCAAATATTTGCCGTTTTTCCAACTCACGTGCTTCCCGAGACTGAAAGGTGCTATCTAACGTTCTTACATTCGAAATTGCTTGTACATTAGTGGCATGCCTTTTTGATTTCGAATGATTCACTAAATCTGATTTTTTAGCACCCATTATTTGATTACAAGCTTTACATTTTACTTTCAACTTGTCATTTTCAATAGGTCCCAACCAGCCTTTAAATAACGGATCTTCTAGCCATGATGAAGTAAACATTTGTTTTCGTGTATTTTTCTTAACAGGTTGCTCTGGCTCTTGGTTATCCTGAGATTCGCAAGTCGAATTATCAGGCTCAGACCTGATTCCACTAGATTCCGCTCTTCTATTTTGTCTGTATTCAGGTTCGGGATGCTCCGAGTCCGACACAGATGCAGTCGAAGTGGATGGTACGGCCACGTTTGGTTTCACCGTTTGTTTTTTAGAAGGATTTTTATCAAAAAAATCGTTAATGGTCTGCTGTCGCCTTTCCATTATTCCTATTTTCCAGCAGAAAAAGCGTTAAAAAAAATTTCGCGACTAAAATTTATTTCTGGATCAAACTATAATATGTTAGATATTTAAGCAGTTTTGTTACTTACCAGTAGATCTAATATTAAAATCTGCAGCAAATGATATATCAATAAAAACACAAAAATAAGAACACTAATATAAACGAAACTAAACAGTATATACCCAGAGCTGAAAAATACAATACAAAGCGAGAAACCTAATACTATGTCTGCCTGCTGAGACCTGTTAGAAACGATTAGTATTGAAAGCAGTACGTACGCCATCTGTTAGCCAGCCGACGGGTCTGAGCGTTTTTCAAAAAAAAGCTGGACCGGTATTCTCGTTCCCCAAAACGCTAAGCGTTTTCCAGTCGCTCAGCGAATATGACGTCATTTGCACTTGCTTTCGAAGCACCTGCCAAAATATGGTATTCCCGTTGCCCGAACGCTCAGCTTTTTGAAAAGCGCTTGTCGCTTTCAAAACGACTACCAAGTGGTCGGTGTTTTGCTTATCGCTTTCGTTATGAGTACTGACACTGCTGTCAGAATTCTTATTTAGATCGTGATTTTTGTTGTAATTGAGGCTACTGTGGCCCTCATATTTAGATAATTATATCCAAAGTATACCTAGTAATGGCATATCAGTTTGCTGGGGTTAATTTAATCCGGATTATTGAGCATGTGGAGAGGCAAAGATTCAATGCCGATGATCCGTTCGAATTCTCTGACTTTAATTTTGTGAAATTATATCGTCTGCGAAAACAGGACGTGCAAAATTTGGAAGAAATGTTACAGCCATTTTTACCAGTACATCCTAGATCGCACGCGATAAGTAATCGCACGAAGGTAAGTAACAATAATAATGAAGTACTTGTACTTCCAAGATTGACAAAAAATCTTATATATACGATTGATAAAATAGTGATATTTGCATTATAACAACCTAGTGTACATTAATGTTTTAGATACTGTCTGCCTTGCGTTTCTTTGCAAGTGGAAGCTACCAGCTGGATGTAGGCAGAAATCATACAGTAACTCTCAGCCAGCCATCGATTTCTAGAACTTTACATGAGGTGTTGGGAGCATTCAACACTCCAGAAATATTGAATAGATATGTCCATTTTCCAAACACAATTCAAGAGTTAACCAACACCAGAGAAAGGTATATTTCAATTTAGAATTATAAATATATATGAGGAACTATCATGATGTTGTCCTACACTATGTTTCTTCAAAGCTATTCAATAAGATGATCAAAATTTGATGGTCAAGCTGTACCTATATTGATTTTATTTTGTCTAGATTTTTCGCAAAGTACCAGGTACCTGGAATTATAGGCTGTATTGATTGCACTCACATAGGTATTGTGTGCCCAATCGAAAATGAACATATATATCAATAGGAAACATTACCATTCCCTCAATGTACAGATGGTAAGCTACCCTTACATCCATAAATGCATGGAATAATTTTAATTTCTCATATAAAGAAACTTTCAATGCACAAAGCGTCAACCCCTAATCAAATTTTCTCTGACTCTGCATAGATTACAACTGAAATTTTGCACCAAAGTCAACCTGCATACTTGACACTTGTTTATTGCAGATATGTGATGAAAATTTGAAAATAATGAACGTAAACAGTCGCTTTCCTGGCAGCACCCATGATAGTTTTATATGGAGTCAGTCACGAGTTGGGGAATTTTTGAGAACATTGTCTGAAGAATATATGGGCAGCTTCTACTTACTAGGTGAAATATGTCTATATGTTGTACCCTTGGATCTACTAAAAGATAGTATTTTCTTTTAAGGTGACTCTGGATACCCTCTACGCCCCTGGTTGATAACCCCTTACCTACCAGAACCACCTCAAGACACTCCAGAATCAAGATTCAATAAAAAAATTAAGCATATCCGGGTTTCCATAGAACAATGCTTTGGGTTATTAAAAAACAGATTTAGGTGTCTACTGAAAGATAGAGTTTTACATTATGCACCAGAAACTTGTGCAAAAATCGTAAACAGTTGTGCCGTCTTGCACAACTTATGCTTAGAAAATAATATTCCATTATATAATGATCAGGAAGATGTAGGTGATGGTAACAACTTCAGTGATGCCTTGGCAGAAGAGAGGGGCAACTTGCCACATAATAATTTTTTGGAGAGGGGTCGACACATACGAAATTTCCTAGCGAGAACTTATTTTTGAAATAACTGAATGGATACACTATAGTATATTTATCACAATAAAAGAGTAGTCTAGAAAAAAGATAACTTTATTTTTAACTATACCACACATCTCATCACAACAAAACCTTATA